AATATCTATCATATTCATCCACTTTGCTCTATTTTATTTCTATGTTTGTTGTTTACTCGAGTGTCCATTATTGTTTGTAAATTTTCCAATAGTATATAGAATATAAATAAAAAATAATTGAAAATGGAGAGGGTGGGTTGGAAATGCGAGAGATTTGACATTTACGTGTTGTTTCTTTCTCACTTTGGATTTCGATTTCTGTGTGAATCAGAAATTGATACACAATATTCAAGGCTGTAAAAGACGTTGAAATCTGGAGCAAGTATCGTCCTCTCCTTTTGTCACTATGATGTGTTATGAGTCCCTTGTACCTGTAATATAATACTACAAAAAAGAGTGAGAGTGAAATAGAAAACTAAAATGAAAATGGAAATGGAAAAATATATTCTCAATTAATGGAGATAAATTACTATTATTTTTTACTTTTAAGGGTAGAGGTATAATGTTTTCTTAAATAAAAAAAACATAAATAATATTTTATCTTCTATTTTTTTTAAATATTTCTCTCTTTATTCATGGGGATGAGTCTTACTAGTTTGTGATCGGGTAAGGAACAACATGTAAGCTAGCGTGGCAGCATGTCTTACGGGGGCACCTTCTCCCGGTTATAGATTAGAGATAAAAACATGGGAATGGGTTAACTCTATTGCATCCAAACAGGTAAATCCAATTGAAAAATATCATTTTTCATATTAAAAAGATTGTGTCCTTTTCTGTTTTGATGAGCATGTACTCTAGGGTTAGGAATATCGATTTCAGAATTCAAACACCTTAATTTAGAAATATTAGTTCAACTCGAGGTATAGTATTTCAACCACTCATCACTGGTAAATGTTATATTTATTTACATCTCCTTTTTTAAATCAAGATAGAGATAAAATATAGTATTAAAATATGTAATTATTTTTTATAAGCAAAATATTTGACGGATGATTTGTGTTAACCCAAAAAGAAATTCTGTTCCATAAATAATAATAATTTCTCACTTGCATAACACGGTTTTAGAAATCATGCCATTTAGGTCTCATTTTTTCATCTTTAATAATCATATCTATTAATTTACAATTTATTTATTCGTAAATTGATGATATATAACCTAATACACACAATTTTTTTACCATATTAATAATTACCTTAACTTTCAAATCAAAATAATATTTATAATTCTATAGATTTTGATTATCACTTTTCTCTTTTATGTATTCAATCAAAAGTTTTTTAATTAATGTGCATTTTGTAACATAAAAAGTAACCAAAAATTCAAACTCAAATTTAATACACTTTATTTTACCTTCAGTAGTTAGATTAGTTGTTGACTACGATATAATGAACAAATATGATTAAAATTAAAAAAAAAATATATACACTAATAATATAAATTTTTTAATAATTATTTAATCTTCAAAGCTATAAATAAAATGTCGATAATATATTAACTATGTATAAATATTTATACCGATAGTTTATAAACATTATGTTGAAGATTTTAAGAGAATAATGAATCTCCTAATATAAGGAGATAAATTTATCTCATAGCACAAGAAAATATTTTATTCTCAAATTTTAATCTAAATCACTAAAAATTATAAAAGCTGACATGAACGGAAAAACTAGCTAATAAATACGGTTTCTATTATCAGGCAACTCATAACTCAACCACTCCTCTGACTCGCTTGTTAGTCCTATTTTAAACTTTTGATTCCCTTTTCCTCTCAATAATTATTTAAGAGTAAATTACACAAACTCCCATCAGTTTTAATATAATTACACATACTTCCCTCCCCTTTTTGTAGTTATACATATTTCCCCTTCATCTAACATTGTTAAACCAAAAGTTAAAGTGATGAGTAAAATCTTAAACTATCATTGATTTCAAAAACACAACTCTTATCTTTTCTTTTAACACAGTAAATCATATTCCTTAAACTAGGGTTCAAAAAATTCAAAATCAAAATTGCAATTGACTATTCTCATCTTTTATGTTTTTTTATTTTCTATTGTATTATGTTTGTGTCATGTTTAACATTTATGATAAAGAATAAAAAAGAAATGTTTATTGGGAAATTAAGTACATAAATCTTTTAACTCACTAAGTTCATCATTTTCCAATATTGCCACAAGAATCCTATATTGCCACTAAAGTACAAACCGAGGAGCATGACCAAACAAACAAATCGTGACTAGAAGAATTTCTGAATACATTTAATTAGCTTGAAAACTGAAGATTGTGAACAAAAAAAATATGTGTCAATTTGCATGTTTGGGTTCAAGGATTGGTTGTGTTCTTGTAATAGTTGCAGCAGGTGCTTTTGTATCTCCATTCTCCAACAGAAGTCATATGAAGAGGTTCTCCAACATCAACATTCTCGATCTGTTTCATTTTCTTATTTTGTTTGAACTTTCTTATCCACAAAACTAGAAATGAAAGTACCACCACCATTCCTATTCATCCCATATTAATATATATAAGATTAATATTGACTATAATTCTTTCAAGCATTTTATTAAACAAGTTGTCAGCATTATATTGAAACAAATTTATATGAAGTCTGAAATGGTATTTTTGTCATAATATTTTATTAAATGACATGTGATATGCACATGATACTAATATTTAACGGTCAATTAACGGCAGGGGTAGTTTGTGTAACATGCATATATAAATGATGGGAGGTTTGTGTAGGTGAAAAAAAAGGTAATTCGTGTAATTTCATTAAAACTTATGGGAGGTCTATATAATTTACTCATAATTTAAACATCTTTATGCCTATCTCTCTAGTTTCTCTGCCAAATTTGACATCGTTTTTCTAAATCTTACGGTCCATAATCAATGTCCCTATTTGTATTCATATGTTCTGAGGCTGCACAAACATCTATAAATATGGAATAAAAAGATATACTTTTTTTTGTGAAATTTATTATGTAGATCTTGAGTTGACTAAAAGAAATGTTATTAAAACCGTACCGGTTATCAAACCAGTTAGGGTACTGGTATAATGGTACAGTGGTTCAACAAGTGGTTCAGTAATTAAACCGCATACCGGTGAAACCGGACATACTTGCTTATATATATATATATATATATATATATATGTAAACCTATAAAAAAAATTCAAATAAGTAGATATTCATATTTATAATCCATATTCATAATTTACTTCAAATTCACACAAACAAATAACATTAAGTCTTCAATAAAATCAAAGTCAAAAGTACAAAACATATATTTATCCAAAATTATCACTTAACAAACGCAAAATACAAATAAATGACTCAAGTATCAATCATTGAAGTTGAAGAATTTAAAATTTGAAATCTAAAAAAAAAAAATTAATGTACAAACCAACCGGTTTACCGGTTTCACCGGTTTTCAACTGGTTTTGACCGGTTCTATTGCATATGCGGTATAACATACGTACCGTACCGGTTAAGGGTCCGGTTTTCCGGTTGAACCGGCCGGTACGGCACAGTTTTTAAAACTATGCTAAAAGGTATTGTAAGATATGATGATGAAAGAGTAAAAGTTTTGTATTGGACGTCAATATAATATCTATCTATCATATCTTAAAATTTAACTTTCAAATTTAGACATTTTTAATTGGGAAACACAATATATATATTTTTTAAGAGTATTGTACTCACAAATTTCTAATCTAAATTTACTTCATTTTATTTATCAATAAATTTAACTGAGTTGGTACTGGAGAGCCACCAATATCATAATATGTTATATGGTTTTGTGAAAGCACCAAAATTCTAACTCATGTAACCATGGGACATTACATGGTTTATCAACTAGACCGACTTTCAATTAACTTTATAATTATATTTAATAAATATTTTTTATTGTATGTGATTTATCTAATCTAAAGATTTATGTTTGTTAATCTAAACCATGTAATATAATAGGCGTTTGAAATCTTTACACTCAATCAAAGGATTTATATTAAAGCTTGATTTTTCCTCATGTACATTAGTCTCCAACTAGCAAGATGCACATTAGAAGAGTCTCTCCAAATTTTTATATGTTTAACTTATATATAAAAAATTATAACTACCTTTCCAACATACACATATAATTGGATGATATTTATAAAAAACAATAGAATTAATTTTTATTTTTCAAAGTAAAACTTACTTTTAAACATGAATCGAGTCATCACCTGATGATGTTTAATATGCTAAGGTTTCGTCTCAAAACCAATTGACTATGAACAGTAGCCCAAAAAGTATTTAAACAATTCCCGAAACAATGAGGTAGACGATGTAAGACTTACTACCCAACATGCCCCTCAACGTAAGTTTGTCGGACCAGGCGAAATGCTACCTTTTACCATAACTAAATAACATCTTTTGGTTAATGACAACCGTAAAGAAGTTGGACTCTGACTCTGATAGCATGTTAAGGTTTCATCTCAAAACCAATTTGCTATGAGAAGAGTAGTCCAACAAGTATTTAAATCATTTCCAATAAAATGAGATAGGCGATGCAAGATTTACTTCTCAACATGATATATCTAATACTATCTATTTCTACATAGGCAAACTCTAGTTTACTTGCAACTTTATTAGGTATAAAACCATTACAAAAGAACCACTATATTGTGAATAATTCGGGAAGGACAAAATTATCTCTTAATCAAGTTCTGTTTTAAAAATTACCACTGCATTATACTAAATCCTTAATTGTGCCATAGAAACACTGATTTGCATGCCCCTAAAAAAATAATGTTAACAAAATAGAACCTCTAGCTACTATCCAGTAGTAATACAGTATATTGGTACAGTGAATGGTCATACTCATGTAAGAGGACATAACATCAACCCTATATACTAAATCCAACGGTGGATATGAATGGGTAAGGGTATGCATGGGGTCGTGGTCATTTCTGGAAGTGAGAACCAAGTTGGTGTGGTAGGGTCTACCCCTGAACCAATCCTTTTGTCTTTGTTTTTATAACGTTGTCTTCCCCCACTCCTTCTTTATTTTAACCCTTGTTATAACCCTCCCTCTTTCACATTCTTCTCCTCCATCACATTCTCATTCACTCACTCCTTATCATCACCAAACCCATATCTCCCTCTCCCTCTCACTCTACCACTCAATAAACTAAAACACCCTTTATTTTCTTTACAAAGCAAATGCTTTGGCTCTCCAAAGCAGGAAGAATACCATTTTGGGAAGCTATGTTTTTTGTGGGGAATGTTGTCTGGCTCGAGGACTCTTTCATCTTGGTCAATACTTTTGATCAAGTAGTGTATAGTGTTGTCGGACCAGGCTTCATTCCCCTCAATTATATGCTTCCAAATAAATAACGAAATAGCTTCGTGTCATTGGACAAGTTGTATAGGTTTGGTTCCTCTACTCCTCCTTTATTATTATTAGTATTTCTCTTTAAAATTAAATTTATTGTGAAAGTTTTGTTTTTTCTTAACTATAGGTAGATCTGAACCGTGGGGTTTTGTTTTCAGATGAGTTGCACATGTGGGTAGTAGTTATACAGATTGCTGTAATGATGAACCATGTTGACCAATATTTTCACTTGCCACAAAAGGTTTTCATAATTACTTCCTTTTTCCTCTGATCAAGTTATGATGGTGTTTTTGTTGTCAGGTGTATTTACCTTTTTCTCTTGCTCTTCATTAGCCAGATCCACTCCCAAGCATGTTCCAACTATCCGATCTGTCTGTTTCTGCCATATGACCTCAGATCCGATCTCCTTTTCAACACTGTTAAACATTGTCCTCTCTTTCAAATCCATTTTTCATTTTTTACCTTAATTACTCTGTCTTTTTTTTGTTTCTCTCTCTTTAGGGCTTCTTCGCCTATATTATTCCATGATTTCTCTATAATCTCTATATGATTAACCTAGGATAAGCAAGTTAAGTTTTGAATCATATATGAAAAAGCATGTTGATGACACCTTTTAATTTGTCATTTCACCATTGTCCACTGTGTTATAAAACCGAGGCCTAATTTTATTCAATAAATTAATTAACGAGGCCCTATTATATATGCAATCTGGCATCTGTTACCATAATACAGTATCACAGGATCTTGTAAACTCCGCCCCTTTCAACTGGATTCTCCTGCTCCTACTTCTCTAACAATGTTACTTAATTTGCCATGTCTTTGATTACCATGTCTTTCTATTTCAATATATCATTTAATAATTGTAATAGGAAATATATGACACAGAATAGTATCAAACTATGAATTTTTACAGTGTGCCTATTTCCATGTTGGTGGCAGAATTATATGTTTGTTTTTTCGGTAGATATATACTTTTTTATCTTGTCTTATATTTCTCATTTGATAGCTAAAACCCTAACGTCGTACACTACCACACATTCGAAGAAATAATGTTAATTTCTAGCGTTTAAGTTTCAATGTCCATTAAGCTATCGGAATTATCATGAATTTGGGAAACAATTGTGCAATTTATCGCACCCCTCCCCCATTTTTATTAAATAAAAATAAATTCTTTGTATGAAGGCAAAGCCTTTTATAGGTTCTGTCATTGCCTTTATTTAACTTTTTGATTTTGGCTCGCTTTCTTGATGAGACAATAACTTCAATTGCAAGTTTGGTTCAGAATGGTAGACAGAAAGGGTCAGCAAATAGCTACTTGGGCATGGGAACACGAATGACAAACACAATGCTCATGCATCACAAGTGCAATACTTTTCTTTTATCACCATTTGTAGTTCACACATTCATAGTTGCACTCAAATAAATATGTACTTCACACAAATACACAATCTTCAACGCAGTTCATGTACCCTGACTATTATTCTCTCTTCTAATTAATAATGCCATTTGTTTCTTCATTTTGTTCTCTCAAATTCACGACCATTTGTAAATGGGGTAACATGAAAAATAATAACAGAAACAATTCTTGAAAAGAATGGATCAATAGTACATATGTATTACTTGCCCCCATTTGTGTAAATAATAGAGAGAAGTAATTATATAGAGATAAAAGGCAAACAACTCAATAAAAATTTGACAAAATGATTACCTTGTTTAATGGACAGATAATTTGTAATATATGAAGTAATTGTATTTTAATATTATATCACACATATTAATAAATGTAATTAATACGTTTTTTATATTTAATCGATGTAATATTTAAGTATTTTTCTTATCTTTTTATAATAATTGTATTAGTTTATTTTCACTTATTATCGTTTTCATTAATTAGATATAGATAGGACAGTAAAAGTAATGATTAATATTGTTTTGATTTTATACATAAAAATAGATCATTTTCATAAATGTGGTGAGTAATTGTGTTTTAACAAATATGATTTGTTAAAAAAAATTATAAACAAAGTTAATATCAATTTCGTGGATGCATTAGAATTATACTATTATTATTGTATGATAAAGTGAATGCTGTCTCAAAAAGAACCGCTTTTGGGAAATTGGTCCTTTTGACCTTTTGCAAAGCATAAAGCTGAACCATAGGGTTTCCTTTCTGTTTCGCATACATGATATTATCTCTGGTCTAGTTTCCAACTTTCATAGGGTAATTTCAGGTGAATTAAGAAATTTGATTAAAATATTTAGTGTTACAGAATTTATCAAAAAATATTTATTTAAAATTTCCATTTATAAATAAGTCCGAAAAAATAAATGAGACCAAATCATTTTATATTTTCACTCAATTAATTAGTTATTTTCTCTTTCCCGGTCAATTAATATGAGAATATTTTCATAACCAAAACAAGCAACGTATATAAAATTTTGGGAAAAATCTTATAAAAAAGAAAAAATTATAATCTCAACGAATCTTATATAAAAGATAGTAGGCCAGTCAGAAAAAGAGGGAAATTGATGGGTCATGTACTCTTGTTTGTTGAATTCCAATAAGACTTTTCCACTAATAATTTGGTTTGCAAATAAGTCCCCCAAAAACTTTTTGAAGTATTTGTACTTTTTGAATTGCACATGCTAATCATTTATTAGGTGTACCATCATCTTATGGAGTGATTGCCCGTATTCCATTATATTATATAGGTAGGGTATAGCAGAATCAAACCCTTTTGAAACATACTAGTGATAATCACTTAAAACAACTCATAATAATAAATGAAATGCATTTAATGGTTAGAGCTAACAAAAATACATCATTACTCATTATCAATCTTATATTCATTATCAAATACATCATTATTCATTATCAATCTTATATTTTGTTTGAACTCAAAAACAGGTAATCGATTGTGTTGATGCATCCAACACCATAGCCGTGCGGTAACTTCTCGTTGTGCTAAAGTTAGAGCTAACAAAAATGAGCTTGAATAAGTCCCATAGTTGAGCTGCAGGTTTAAGGATTAAAATAAACACACTTTCAATGTAAAATAACCATGTCGATCGTATTACAAAATCATCATAGACTTAGGCTAACATTTTTATGTTTGAATAAATATCAAGTTATTTTTTCTTGAATCAGACATCCTCAAGACCAAAATGGATCAAGCTAAACTCTATTCAACAACTCATTTTACAAAATCTAACGGGAGTGACCACTAAATTAAGTCTTTGTTTGGTTGAGGAGAGAAAATAGGAAGAGAGAATAAAAAGAAAGAGTATGATTACTAGAGAGAAATAAATGAGAAAATGAGTTGATTGTAAGAGTTGTGTGGTATGAAAGAAACATGAAAGAATTAGGAGAGATAGGAGTATACTTTTATGAAATAGACAATTTTACTCTTATAGATAAGAGGAGAGATCCATTGACTCAAATAGTAAGTTTTTTAAACTTACTCTGCATATTGACCATCAATTATAGGGAAATCAAATGATTTGAATTAATGAGTGGATCTAAACCATTGGATTTCCCTAAAATTGACGGTTATGATATGAAGTAAATTTAAAAAATTTACTCTTGAAGTAAGTAGATCCTCACACTATAGATAATATGAGCATATGATAAAGATAAGAGTATTATATTAAATGTAATTATTATTTTCAACTCTAGACTTTTTCTCACTTTACAGAAGAAACAAAAAAGTTGGTCGGTCCCACCACTTTTTTTTTCCTTTCATACTCTTTTCTCCGGAAATAAGAGAAATAAGTTTATTCTTCTTAAACTCTCTTCTTCCATATTCCAAGAATAACTACGCTAGAAATATTTGGCATAGTGAATATATATGGTTAATTAAGGGCTTTATTTATATTGGTTCGCTCCTCAATTGACATTGTAGCAATGTAAGAAACGTAGTAAAACTAGAAATCATTTAGGAAATACTTGTGTTGTGGAAATTAGTGTCCCAAAAGCAAAATCTCGATGGACCTTGGTGTAATCCGAACAACTGACTGTTCCCCAATGTTAACATAACGAGCCTATAAACATGTGCATTCGAGTTTTTAGGACATGGAGATATGTTGTCCAAGTTTTGAATAGAATAGAATGAAGATAGATGGAGGAAATCAAGAAAATATCTCCTCTATTAGACCGATATCAGAAAACTAATTTATAAATAGGAGAAGATCAACTATTATTTTGTCAAAAATATCTCCTAAAATAAATTAGTCATTAAAGTAAATCAAGACTAATTAAATAAGATTATAGAAATAAAAACTCATTTATTTGCCATTATCTAACAAACATCATATTGATTTAGGATAATTTTGCGAGTTGATCTATAATGGACATGACATACACTTGTTAAATTATTACAATTTTTTTTGTGTTCTTTTATCTCTACAACTCAACTTGAAAGGGACCATTAAATAATTATTATTTCCTTTAATTTCCTCTTATTTTTTATCCATCATTTGTGTCATTACCGGGAAGAAAAATAATAATTGTGTTCATTTATATTAATTTCATTTTTATCCGAATATATCATTCAATTGAATCAATTCTCTATAATTATTATACCCTTTTCATTATGTTCGTACAGATGAAGATAATGTTACATAAATACAAATTTTATTTTCACTATATTCTTTTTAACTTATAAAGAGACAAATAAAAAATTCTGAAAATGGGAAAAAAAAATTAGCTAGTACTTTCCTTTTATCTATTTTTTTATGAATTTGAGTATCATTCTACTCAGACTAATAATTCTTTTTTATGAAAAATCTTATCAATTAAATTTTGTCGTCGCTTTATGTAAATATATGTCTCCATAAGAATTATTTAGTGATTTACATATCCTATTTATAGTTTATAGTTTTATACTCTTCCTATATTCTTTTTTCCCTTTAATTAAGTAAACGTCAGTTTAAAATATTCGAAAATCAGGAACCACATAGAGGGATTTTTATAAACAAGAAA